GGGCCCCTGGCAGCTCAGGGTTACGCTGTCACCCCGGAGCAGGTTGATCCACGGGGGCTCGAGGCTCAGCACCGCCTTCGGGAGAGCTGCTGTAGGGCAGGCGGTAGGAAGACATGGGAATGATAACCTTGGAGGGAACAGGGATTCCCAAGGAGCTCGCAGGGGTCTGCTGTAGACCCAGCTAAAGAGCAGCGGGCTTCCAGCAGCCTCATTCCCTTTGCGTCTCTGGTCTCTGGGTCGTCAGTGGATCTAGCAGGAAGCTCATCAAGAATCAAACCCCAAACACCACTAACGTGGGGGAACCGCCCATGCTGGCTGCAAGCCCAGTTCTTGGTGGAACAGGGGTCTCCCTACACAGTAAATACAGCGTCACATTGTGAGGCAGTGATGCCAGGGGGCATAGGGCACACTCACCAGCTCCTCTGCCTGTAGCAGCTGTAAGAGAAGAGAGTGCGTCAGCGTGGGCAGAAGGGGGGACAGCAGCCTAACTGTGGGTGCGCAGGGGGTTGCGGAGGTGAGCTCGACTTCCTTCTTTCTCCAGGACCCATCCCAAAAGCCCGTTTCCTGTTGATCTCCCCTAAGAGGTCCCCTTTCTTAGGTCCTTCTCTCAAGCCTGTCTCTGCAAAGTTACAAAGTAAACATAATGTTCTGGGCAGGGACTGTGAAAGGACCTCTGCACACTGACCTTGGGGACCCGGGGGAGGGTAAGAACCCAGCGTTCTCCTTCCCCTTTCCATCTGTCCCCAGCTTCCAGCGACCAGGCCTGCTCCTGGTCCCTGCGTGGGGCCGCAGTGGCTGACACCGCCCTGTCCCAGAATGAGGCCTACTCACCCAGCAGCAGCAAAACTATCAGTGGTGAAAGGAGCCACAGGCTCCCAGGATGCACACTGTGCAGCATTTGGTCTTCAATGTCGACCCGGCCCTGGAACTCAGTCCCCTGGGGTTTAGGAGATGAACTGAGGAAAGAGGAAGGAAATTGTCTCATGCTGTCACACAGCTTTCA